GCCCCTCAAAGCCTCTGAAAAATATGCGTAGATAAGACCCTCTGAAGCCCAACAAGGGAAAATCGAAAATGTCCCAAGGGCCTACCTATACAAACACCCAAATCAACAGGATTCGTACTGTAGGCCTCTCTTCGAAAACTACATAGAGAATCCCTATTTTTAAACCTCAGGAAAAGCCTAAAGCTCATAACCCCAAAGCCCTTAAACCTATACCGTGCGCATTGGCTTTCTGACTCGATCTAGGATTTTCGAACCCTAACCTTAACCTACCAGAACCTACTTTTTTGTAGGGTCCCTAAAAATTCCATATTGGGGTTTATAACAAGAACCTACAAAAAAGTAGGTTATGGTAGCTTCCTTAACCCCAAACCCTAAACCCTAAACCTTAAACCCTAAACCCTGCGAGAGCATCACATCCCAGCCCCGCTACAGCGCTGCCTGCCGGTCACCACCTCAGGAGATTCGGGCTCCGTTAGGGGACTTGCAAAGATTCGATGCGGGGCTCTAGAAGGGTTTAGGGTGGAGGGTTCAGGGTTTACGGTTTAGGGCTAGGGTTTAGGGTTTAGGGTTTGGGCTTTAGGGTGTAGGGTTTAGGGCTGCAAAGATTCCATCCCAAAGGCTCCTAGGTACTGGTATGCAGGATACTATCCCAGATCATAAGAATCTAGCTCCTAATATCGAAACCCTGCATTCTTACCCTATAGGGACTTAGTATTCGGGGGCCTAGAAGGCTTCGGGTTCGGTCTTGCATTCATGCCCCCCCCTTCTAGTGGGTATAACGATCCACTACAAAAGATGTATCACTTTCAGGTTTATAGGGGATTCTACTATCCCAACAAGTGTATAACGTGCAGCCATTCAGCTACTAAGAGGATGTACCCCACGAACCCAGCAGAGATTCTTGCAGAAGACGCATTGGTAAGCCCATAAACCCGGAATCCCCAACTCAAAGGAAACTGCAGGTGCGGAGTTTAGGGCATATAGGGCTTCTATAAGGCTTCTATAAGGTAATATAGACCTTCTATAAGGCTCCTAATAACGGTAGCTACCCAAAGAACCTGCATCCCCCAAACCCGAAGACTCAGATCCTCTAATCACCATGTAATCCCATCACCCTAATATTACCCACCCCCTACCCCCCACTCGATACAAAACTCTAAACCGCGTTTTACTATGAGGGGGTATTTGCATCTCTTGCTCCTGCTGCTTCTGCTTGTGCTCTTGCTCCAGCTCCTGCTGCGGCTCTTGCTCCTGCTTCTGCTGCGGCTCTTGCTCTTGCTCCTGCTGTGGCTCTTGCTCTTGCCCTTACTGTTGATTCTACTCTTGCTCATGCTCCTACACCCCTGAGCTCAAAATCGGTTGTAAAAAAGGCGGGGATGATTTCACGGAGATTTCCTGGACAGCTCGTTCATTATTAGGTGAGTGATTAAGTAATATATGGGGAAGTGATTGGCCCCTGAATGTCTCGGGGTGTATTGCTGCTTGACTGACGCCCTTTGGGATATTGCCTGTCTTAGCAGGATGCCATCCAGGGACAGGATCAAAATATATAACCCTAAGGGTCCATGTATTCATATAGTATATACTTTGGCACCAATGTACCTATATAGGCACGACTTTAAGGCCAATGTATATACAAGATGAGCACATGGACCCTTAGGGTAAGCCACAGACATGCTGCAGTTGCTTAGGACACTCTCGCTTCAAGGACCTCGGATTGCTTTAGTTCGTGGATTCTCGGTCTTGGAAAATCAACATACAAACGCAGCGGCTTTTTCGCATGGCAGATAGGATGTGTTCATCTGTGGATGCAACAATAAAGACGGCGCATATGTCGCACACACACCTCTAGCACGCCTTGTGCGGCCATGGGTGGTGCCTGCTTCCCGTCCGAGGAACTAAATACCCAATGACGCTAACAGCCAGAGACTTGGCGCCGAGGGGATTTTGCAAGACGAAGGCTTCGCTACGCAAGAACACCGCACATTTGGAGTGCAGTTGAATTACAGATGCCCGCTCCACAGGCAGCCGGAGACCCTCGTACGTAGGCCGTGCGCGACCCCAGACAGCCCAATACCCCTTAATTAAAGAATATACCTTAAATCAAAATATTAAAACCCCTATAATTTAAGGTATATTCCTTATTTAAGGGGTATTGGGCTCTCTGGGACATGACCTCTACAAGTGGAAGAACGCGGCAAAGTGCCTAGACATACCTGGAACGCACTGAACCATTCGTTCAGCCTCAGGCACGCGCGACATTGTAACTTTCTCTACCCAGAGAGCCCAATACCCTTTAAATAAGAAGTATACCTTAAATTATAGAGGCCTTAATATTATGATTTAAGGTATATTCCTTAATTAAAGGTTAGTTGGGCTCTCTGGGAATGTCAAAATTCTGGCGTTCCCGAAGCCTCGAAAGAAGGAGCCGCCGAGTTTCCAAGCGGCTCAGACGGTACTCTCGCTAACGAACTGGCCCTCCGACTGCATGGGGGTGATGGTGCTGGGTGTCCTTAGTTGCTGAGTTCATAAGCACCAAAAAAAGGTGTAGACTTTCAGCTCTAAAACGGGATCAGAATATCCCAAAAATAGTTTGTAAAGCGTACTCATTCAGCTACTACCTACACCCCCAAAAGTAGGTAAAATAATGGCCCAAAACCTCCAAAAGGCTATTATTCTACATACTTTTCGGGTCCAGGTATAGAGCCCATTGAGCAGCTCTATTATAGGGATCATATGATCCCCAAAAATAGTTAACCCTAAACCCTAAACCCTTAAAGCGTACTCATTCAGCTACTAAGTGTCTTCTTTCCATAAACCCTAAACCCTAAACCCTACACCCTAAACCCTAAACTCATTCAGCTACGAAGTGTCTTCTTGCCATCCTGCTCTTCGTCAGTTCCCTCAATGAAGGCGCCGGCCCACAGCATCTTGCACCGCACCAGGGGACTCTCCTTGCGGTAGAGCCTCCAGGGGGACAAGAAACCTTTAGGGTTTAGGGTTTAGGGCCTAGGGTTTATAGGGCTTTGGGGGATAAAAAGGGTTTAGGGTTTAGGGCTTAGGGCCTGGGGTTTATAGGGTTTTGGGTTTATAGGGTTTAGGGTTTAGGGCTTAGTGAAACAAGAAACCCTAAATCCTAAACCTTACACCGCACCAAGGGACTCTCTTTACGGTGGAGCCTCAAGGGAACAAGCAACCTTGCCGATGCTGCCCCTGGGTTTAGGGCTTAGGGTTTAGGGTTCATAGGGTTTAGGGCTTAGGGCTTAGGGTGTTTTTTTTTTAAGGGTTTAGGGTTTAGGGCTTATAGGGTTTCTAAACCCTACTCCGCCTTGGCCCTCCCCTCACCCAGCCCCCAAAAATCCCCTATTCCCTGAACCGAAACAGCCCCGAACCTCCTGGAAACCTCACGAAGCCCCAAGCCTCAGGGGAGCAAGCAAGAGCTGAATGGCGATCCACAAAGCCAAGCCGGCAATAATGCCGTAGCCTTAGCTCTCTTTGAAAGGCTGAGCGAACGGTACTCTAGCAATTTTGACCTCAGAGTTTATCATGGGGTTTCGAGCTATATCACTGTATAAGTCTTGTGGGTTGCTTCAGGGGCTTAGAGTAACCCCCAAAAAGTTGGAAACCGGATTCGGGACAACTTGTGCTGGGATTCCTTATATATGACTCTTAAGGATGGAGGCTATTGGGTTTCCAACTTTTGGGCTTCTACTGTATAGGGTTTAGGGTTCCTTCATGACCTTGACCTCCGACATCTGAGGTCGCGGCCGATGCTGAAGGTGAAAGGCATGGTGATCATAGCCACGAAAGCTGGCAAGGCTTCCTGCGATGAGATCCCCAGCTCAAATGCAATAAGAGGCACCTCAAAATTTAATGTTTTTGGGTGGTTTTTTAAACCGCCAATCCTAAACCCTTATACAAGCTTTTAATCCCTACTAGATCTTCCTATATAACTCCCCCCCCCCCCAAACTCTATATAAGCCCTGCAAAACCCGGAGGGTTGGGGGGCTTCCCATGCGGTTGATGATATAAATCCTGCATTGCTCATAGTAAGGAAGATCCCATAATTCCCATAGTTCAGGGTCCTTAAGGTCATTGCAGGGTTTATATCATCAACCGTAGTATTGGCCCACGATTTCTTTTGAAGGAAGAGACCTACTGCGAAGCCCCAGGGACCTCACTGGAATAGGGCTTTATGTAAGTTATACCTTAAGCTACCATAACCTACTTTTTGTAGGTTCTAATTATAGTCCCTAAGATGGAATTTATAGGGACCCTACAAAAAAGTAGGTTTTGGTAGGTTAAGGAGTGAGTATGAAACAAGGGGTTTACAGGAAGGTCGTAAATAGGGAACCTCAGAGATAAGGGCCTTCAGGCCCTAGGTGGACCCTACAGCCTGGCAAAAACCCATCTTTAACTTAGGGGCTGAGTACCCTATAGCCCAAAAAAGGTTAACTTTTCAATTTTGGTAGGACTATAGAAGCCCAAAAATTCTAAAGGTTACCTACTCAGCTACTAAGTATAGTAGTATGAAGGAAGGAGTCTGAAAAATATATTGGGCAATGTTCTGTATTAGGACAAGCTAGCGCTGAATATTGCGATTAAAGGCAGCTTCATTGGAAGAGGAGTCTCATTGTGCTCACTTTGGGGCCTGCTGAAGTCTTCAGAAAGCCCAAATTCTAACCCTAGGCCCATAGGCTCCTTGGTAGTTCCTTTTTGGGATTATCTTATAGGATTCTAAATATGAACCACAACAAGGAACTACTTAGGGGTCTATGGGTAGGCCCTAGACTACACCCTCAACGCCGCGCTCCTGGAAGTCATCCCAGTCCACTAAACCCTAAACAACCCCTAAACCCGAAACCCCAAAACCCTAAACTCCAAAACCCAAAAACCCTCAAAGCCGCGCTCCTGGAAGTCATCCCAGTCAACGCCCTTCACGGAACTGCACATCATGGCGCCCAGGAGGCACAAAATCGGGCCGGAGGCCAGCGGGGGAACCTGAGAAGAACACAAGATCGCCCGTTACCACGGCTTCAGGTACTGTAGGGGCCTTAACGACTAGAATGGGGTTTTGCGGTTTTTTTACTATAGTTGGGCCTTAATATTTACAATGGGGTTTTGGGGTTTATTCTGTTACAGTGATAGGTCTGAGGCAAAAGGTTTAAGCACGCAGGGTCCCACGTACCACCGTAGTCCACATTAGGGATTCCATCTTCGGATCCAGAATTACCACTATGGTCTGTGTAAGTGCCGCTGCAGTACGCAGGACACGTGGCGAAGGTATAGAATACAGAAGGGGTAGTTCTCTAAATTAGGGTCCCTTTTAGGTCCCCCCTATAGTACGGCACCCTTATAAAACAGGCACCCTAAAATGGACCCTAATTTAGAGAACTACCCACAGGCGGTTCAGAGCTAAAGGCAGCTGAGGGCCGGGAAAAAAGGGCTCCGAGTTTAGGGGCTGGGGTCTACGGTAACCTACCCAACACCTACTTCTTTGTGGGGTCCCTATAAATTCCATATTAGGGTGTTATAATGAGAACCTACTTGCCGGATATTCCGGTCTTTGGGTTCAGGCTTATCAGCCTTTCAAGCTTTAGGGTTTAGGGTTTACTAGGGTTTGGGGTTTTGGGTGTAGGCGGCTTAGAGTACCAACTCATCCACAACGACACGTGAACGAACAGAGACACAGAGAGATGCGAGGGCAGAGAGACACCAAAACACGCACAGGCCAGGCAAAATGGTAGACAACACCGAACAAGAATATGGGGGTTTCCGATAATAGGAGACCCCTATATATGGTACCCTAAATAGTAGGATCCTTACTTTAAGGACCTCCCAAATTAAGGTACATATAGGTTTCCGAAGCAGAGCCGAGGCACAGCCGACACGATCGGGGAGAAAGGGATGGCCAGCAAGAAGCAGCTGCCCGTCACCAGCGACGCCAAGCCGGTCTTGGCACCATCTGCAACTCCGGCGGTAGACTCGGCGAAGGTGCTCACTGTGGAAACGCCCAGAACAGAGCCGATCTGATGCAGGGCTTACTTGGAGGTTCATGGGCAGTTGTAAGCGGAGTTATGTCCCCTAATATAGGTTATAACTATAGTTGCCCTACTTGTAACCCTACTTATAACTAACCATGAACCTCCAAGTACAAGGGGTTTACAGGAAGGTTGTGAATAGGGAACCTCAGAGTTTAGGGTCTTCGGGCCCTGGGTGGACCCTACAGCCTGGCAAAAGCCCATCTTTAACTTAGGGGCTGAGTACCCTAGCCCAAAAAAAGGTTAACTTTTCCGATTATGGTCTAGGATTCTACAAGCCCAAAAAGGTTAAAGGTTACCTACTCAGCTACTAAGTTAATCAACCCCCCCAATCGGGCCATCATTGAGAGCGCGTCGGCCAGGTATGCCATGTTCTGGCGCGCGAGGGGCAGGTTGCCTCGCGCGTCTGTGAGCCCTGCGACCTTCGCCACTGCGAAGAAAGTGCCGGAGGAATCGAGCAGGTCTGTGTAGCCTTAGCCATTACATCGAAAAAGTTTGAGATGAGCTGTGCCCAGCATGTAGTACCAAAAGACTGCGGGAATTAGAGGATCTGTACAACGACTGCACGAAGCATCCACATCGAACCTAAACTACCTTAAGCTACCATAACCTCTTTTTTTGTAGGTTCTAAGTATAGTCCCTAATATGGAATTTATAGGGACCCTACAAAAAAAGTAGGTTTTGGTAGGTTAAGGTAAGGATCATCGCAGTTGCATTCAAAGGACGCCTGTGACGGATAGTTTTTCCATGCTCATGCATGTCAATATTCAGGTCACCGTTCTAGGTTGCCCCTTTACGCCCGTGGTCCACCTAGGACCCATTTTGGGGGGGGGAGTCGACACGTCTCCAAGCAGCAGAAAGTCGCCACAGCCGTCCAAAACGTTGAGCTTGTCTCCGGGTGGAAAGCCTTGTGCGCAGGGAGCACTGTTGTCTATGTCAGAAGCCGCAGCAGCAAGAAAGCGTGTCGCATGCAGAATTTCCTTTCTTGGGCATGCTTTGCAGAGTCTGATCATTAAGCCAAGTACAGTATACGGTGTACTACTGGGTAGAGATTGAGAAGAAAAGACTTTGCACAAGCCCACACAAATCCGACACCCTAAACACTAAACCCTAAACCCTAAACGACATGCGACCTGAACCCACTGGAGCCTGCTTCTGCGAACAAGTAAGGAACCCCAAATAAACCTCAAACCTGAAACCGGCAAAGTCTTAAGACTTACTGAACTGCTTTCCATAATTACTAGGGAGCCCCCGAAATCTGACGCTTAGGCACGTAGGATCAGGGAACTAGGCGAGTCGGTGATCAACAAATTCTATTTAGCAGAACCCGAATTGGGGTACTTATCACTGTGTTACGAGAAAAAACTCTGTCAGCGGTGTCATGGTCCAAGTGCAGTAAGACAGCAGCCCGCAGCGCTAACCTGCTGAACCCCTTGCGCAGACCCCCCATGTAACTGCCTAAAATTTAACCTAAAAGAAAAAAACACCGAAGCCCCGCACGAAAAAAACCCTTCTTCCACCCTAACCCCCCTGCCCCTCCCCAAAAAAGCAAAAAAACAAAGCTTCCCGAAAGCTTTTGGTGCAGGGGGCCTCTTCCACCCTTTTAACCTTTTTAAACCCAAAGCTTCCCGAAACCCTTCGATGTCCACCCTAAACCCAACAAAAAAAAACCCAAAGCTTCCCGAAACCTTTCAAACCCTAAACCCTATAAACCCTATAAACCCTATAAACCCCAGAGCTTCCCGAAACCCTTGAAACCCTAAACCCTATAAACCCTATAAACCCCCAAAGCTTCCCGAAACCTTTCGGAGCAGGGAGCCCAGTCGAAACCTTCGAAAAGTGCGCCGGTCAGGCCGGAGAGATGAGGGCTGGCGACCTCAACAAGTTCAGGGCATGCACTCTCGGTTTAGGGCTTAGGGTTGAGGGTTTAGGGTTTAGGGTTTAAACAACCAGGCCCAAAAAAGTTCAAACCTTTTAGGATAGACATAATATGCAAGGCCAACAGTTTAAAGCTCTCCCATTTGCTATCTAAGTGTAGGGGGTTCCTGTCAACGAGATCTATGTGGGTTTAGGGCGTTTGGGCTTTTTGGGGCTACAAAAAGTTTAGGGCATTTGAAGGTTTCGTGTTTTGGGGCAATAATCCGTGCTCTTGATTAGTAAATCCCCCTCTGTTTAATTTTTTTCCAGATATCCTGGTTTTGCCCGGCTCTCAGAAAGCCCCTTTATTTCAAGGGGAAAACATTTCGTCCCTAAACGCTTGAAAATATTATCTGGACTCGGCGACGTGATTTAGGAGCCCCAAACTTACTATTTTACCGCAAGTAGAAGGCTAGAACATACTACTTTACTCCAACTAGAAGCTTAGTGCAAGCTTAGAACTTATCGCTTTTCTGGAAGCTTAGTAGAGGAACAGGACTTACAACTTTATTGCAATTAGAAGCTTAGTAGAAAGTTAGAACTTACTATTTTCCTGCATTTAGAAGCTTAGTAAAGGCTCAGATTAGACTTACTACTTATTGCAATTAGAAGCGTAGTAAAGGCTTAGAAGTTACTAATGAGCAGAGGCTTAGAACTTATTACTGTATTCAAACCGTTGAAGCTGCTGCCCTCAGGAGACAAAGCGCCTGAACAGAATGCCGTAATGGTTTCCCCTACCGGTAGAAAAGCACATCAATCGTCCGTGTTTTATGCAGCCTAAGCCCTAACAGCCGAAACCCACCACCTACAAACACCCGCATGCTCGGGTTTTCTGTGCTCAGGAAGAAGGTGTGCAGCAACTACCTACATGAGGTATGCCTGGCTTGAAGAAACCCTGTACAGCCCATGTAAAGCCCACCGAAGCAATCAGGCACGATACGCTTGCTGTTGCTGTTGCCAGGGGACGACGCCGTGAGGCACAAAGATGTGGAAGTCCTTGGCGGACCTATCCTTGGCTCACCATTGTTCTTTCATGAAGGGCTCTGGTGTCCTGAAACTGAAACTTTGGGGCTGAGTACCCTAGCCCAAAAGAGGTTAACCTTTCCAATTATGGTAGGATTATATAAACCCGAAACGGCTAAAGGTTGCCTACTGAGCTACGAAGGAAACAGAAATCTGACATGAAGAGCGCAGGCCAGTGTCGCCCTCGGTCCCGAAAGGGTAGCCGAAGACGGAGCCCTCCACGCCATTCCTTGGCTCGGCAATATGGTGGGGACAGGGGGGTTTAAGGTTTAGTACTTGATTTTTTGGAAAAGTTGGGTTTAAGGTTTAGTACTTGAATTTTTGGAAAAGTTTTTTGGCGAAGATCATGGCGTGTCATAGTGCAGTAGATACAGTACATATTGTATAAGGTTTAGAGTTCAGGATTCGGCTAGTACAGGGGTTCTAACAAGGTCTTAAGATGCTTTGCGCTTACAAAACAGGATTGTATAACGGATTCAGGCCTTTTGGTGTGTTGAGCCGTTAAGGTGTTGGGTTATACATATATCTTGGTAGAAACCCTAAACCCTAAACCACTACAGCTTAAACCCTATTCGAACTAGGTCTTAGAAAAAATATGTAGGGACTCTGAGGGGGCACCATTTGGAGCCTTCAAACTAGCCCTGGGCACGAAGAACGGACACGACTCGGATTAAGCTTAGGCCTGCATTCGGATACTGCCTTCTCCTGATTAGTCTTTACCCAAAGGGTCCTAAGAACTGTTATGGGGGATACTTTCCCAAACCATAGTAACAATTCCAAATACGGAGACCCTACATTCTACTGTATAAGTACTTTGGACCCTTTGGGTTAGTATCTTTGGTAAAATGTAGCTTTTAGGATCCTCGGAAACCCCGAAGGCCTCGCTTTCCAGGGTTCCGCATCGCTAGGGTTTAGGGTATCGGGTTTTCGGGTTTGACAGTGCGCCACAAAACCTGTGGGTTCCCAAGCTTGAAATTAAGCTACGTAGTGTTGATTTAAAGGTTTAACGACGATGCTATCAGCGTACTACCAGGGCTTGAGATAAGATTGACCCAATGTACTTTTGAAGTCATATAATGCAACAGGTTACTGCACATTTAGGGTTTGGGTTGAGATTGGACGAATACTTGGTGAATACCCTGACAAGAGCAACAGCAACGGTAAGACGCTCGAGCGGGTATAGTAGGTTTATAGGAACCCGTAAACCAACGAAACACTAGAAGTTGCTGGTAGGTTTAAGTTGGAAGACACTAAACGCCCACCGAGTCGCCTGACAAGAAACCTTTGAGGCAACCAACATTCTTACAAGAGGCTGGGTTTAGGTTCTTGTCTTTGCGTGGCTTTTTGGGTCCCTCTAGCTTAAACCATGAACTCTAAACCCGAGAGGGACAGGATCTGCCCAGGTTCACCCAGCCCTCGATCCAGCAGACGACAGTTCCCAAGACCTGGGCTGTTCTCGGAGGCCATTCAACAAACCGTCTGATTCCTTCTCGAGACTATATAAAGTAGACGAAGATTAAAGTCCTTACTTGAGTTGTGTGATCCTTCTTACGGTGATACAAACAAAGACGGAATCATTTAAGAACGGCCTGGGGACGATGCCAATCAAAGGAGCGCCTGGGATCTTGGCCGACAACAGGGTCGCCGTGACCACGAGCACCAGAAGGGCCATCCACATCTTCCTAGGCTCGTCTAGGAGGTTGGGGTTTAAGGTTTAGAATGCTTGTTACCCCTGTACACTTCCACGAAATCTTCCTGGGCCAGGGTATATATAGGGTTTAAGGCTAGATCTAGAATGCTTGCTCCTCCTTAAAACTTGTCCCACACCACAGCTTGACTGAATTGCAACAACTAGAGTACTACTTGCCGCGGCAAGGCTGGCGCCAAAACATTACAATACCAGGGTGCGCGAGGATCCTGCAATAGCCCTGAAGTAAAACAAAAGCAAAAGTCCAAGCTACCTAGCCTCTACCGGAGTTTGATACTGCATCTCTAACAATTAAGAACCACTTTATGTGTGAATCAAGCCTTTAAACGGAGTCTAGATATATATATATATAGAAATATATGTATATTTATTTATTCACTTATTTATTTACTTATATATGTAGGTCTAGTTTGTGTGTTTGTGTGTGTGTGTGCGTGTATGTGTGTGTGTGTGTTTCTGTTTGTGTTTGTGTATGTTTGTGTGCGTAAATCCTGTACCGAAGGACATAAGCAGTATTGATGATCATTGATGCAAAAGCAAGGGCTGGACGCTGATGACTTCAATGCTTAAGAACAGCATCAGTGCATGGTGATATCTGGCATAAGGATGGCTGGTCTGCAAGTGTGTAAGACCCTTAGTATATACGCCCTTGTACAAAAGACCCTTCAAACGCTCATATGGACCCCTAAACCCTAAACCCTGCATACAACCCTAAACGCCTGATCCCCTAAGACCCCTTCTCGAGGAGTCCTACTATGCTCTTGAAGAAAAAAATAAACAGAAAGCGTCGCCCTGA